CCATCATTATTGTAATCTCTCAAAGGAGGGAAAAAAGGGGGGGGGGGGGCTGCGTTGTCACGAGGCATGGTGTCCGCCTGGAGTGCTGGAGGTTCCGGGTTTAATCCCTGGTAAGGGCTTAGATTTTTTCACGTGTACTTGGACTTTTATAGTAATTCCCCCTGGTCTCTGGGTGAGATCGGACGCCCGTGTGCAGTGTTGCGCACGTAAAAAATCCCTTGTCAGTTGGAAAATGAAAAGAGTAGCCTAACGGCGCTGCTGGGCAACATTTTGAGTTAAAAATCTTGCCACAGTATTTTATGACCCTCGCCGGTGCTACAGAGTCTGTGCACTGTGCTGAGATTTTTCGGACTCAGACTTGAGTTAGAAGAAGAACGGAGCATTATGTGTTACTACCCGTGTGCATTGATGTTGGTCCGTTGTTCAGACTTTAAACTTTTGTAATCAAACAAAGCAATTATTTCAAGCAGCTGCGCTTTTCCAAAGCCACAGGAAAGATAATAATTACTCTAACAGGTTTATACAACAACATTTACAGACGGCATAACTGAGCAGAAAATACAATTATTTTTAGGTAAACAAGTGCCAGTGATGTGTTGTTGTACAATAGACTAATGTTGAAGTGAACCCCCGATAAACTAGCAGGTCCCTACAATATATAATGAAGAAATAACTACAGTAACAATAATTGATGCAGGACCTACCATTGCGAGAGCTCTAATCTTTAGAGATACCAACACTACAAGAGCTATAATTTTTACAGACAGCAACACTACCAGAGCTCAAGTCTTTGTAGGAACAATCACTACGCAGCACACGCCTTTGTAAACATAATAACAGCCACTGGCGTGTGACGTTGGTAATCAAGTCTGCCTGGCTACTACCAGTCATTTCTTATTCGAATGTTCTTCTGTGCCATAATACCAAAAACGTATACCATCTTTTGGCTGTCTCCTTAAGTGTCTTTTCCTCTCCAACTTTCAGTTGTTGTCGCGTATTTCGGTCTTCCCCTCCAACTTTCAGCTGTCGTCGCGTATTTCAGTCTTCCCCTCCAACTTTCAGCTGTCGTCGCGTATTTCAGTCTTCCGCTTCCCATGATGTAGCCCAAAGGATGGACATAAAGTCATTAAACTTTGCAGAAATCACACATTGAGAGTCCCAAGTTGTGTACTTCCATATCACTTAAGGAGCACTGCTCTGTGTACACTAACATCACTCTAACTATTTGAATCCCAAAGAACGCATCATGCCTTTATAAGTTCCTACCTAGAAGCCCAATGAACGCAAGATGCGCAGATTTGATGTCTTTACTTTCCCTTGGAGTTGTAATGATAAACCCACTGGGACTCAAAGGGTTAAGAGCACTAAACTATGTACAATGACGCCACTTAGGAAGCACTGATTTATGTACACTGGCATCACTCCAAGAGCACTACTCTGTGTACACAAACATCACTTTAGGAGCACTACATCATGTACTTGGACATCATTTAAGAAGCACTAATGTTGTCAATGACATACTCTATACAAGTAATATCACTTAATGGGCATAAGAAGGCACACAGATATGCATACTGACATACTTCACCAGCAATACTCTATTCTTTTCAAATCCCTTAGGTTGCATTAAGAAGCACTAGTAATGCACAATAACACACTTCAAGAACACGAATACTCTATTCACTTGACATCACTAACGGAGCTTAAGGAGCACTAGTAATGCACAATAACACACTTCAAGAACACGAATACTCTATTCACTTGACATCACTAACGGAGCTTAAGGAGCACTAGTAATGCACAATAACACACTTCAAGAACACGAATACTCTATTCACTTGACATCACTAACAGAGCTTAAGGAGCACTAGTAATGCACAATAACACACTTCAAGAACACGAATACTCTATTCACTTGACATCACTAACGGAGCTTAAGGAGCACTAGTAATGCACAATAACACACTTCAAGAACACGAATACTCTATTCACTTGACATCACTAACGGAGCTTAAGGAGCACTAGTAATGCACAATAACACACTTCAAGAACACGAATACTCTATTCACTTGACATCACTAACGGAGCTTAAGGAGCACTAGTAATGAACAATAACACACTTCAAGAACACGAATACTCTATTCACTTGACATCACTAACAGAGCTTAAGGAGCACTAGTAATGCACAATAACACACTTCAAGAACACGAATACTCTATTCACTTGACATCACTAACGGAGCTTAAGGAGCACTAGTAATGCACAATAACACACTTCAAGAACACGAATACTCTATTCACTTGACATCACTAACGGAGCTTAAGGAGCACTAGTAATGCACAATAACACACTTCAAGAACACGAATACTCTATTCACTTGACATCACTAACAGAGCTTAAGGAGCACTAGTAATGCACAATAACACACTTCAAGAACACGAATACTCTATTCACTTGACATCACTAACAGAGCTTAAGGAGCACTAGTAATGCACAATAA